TCCAGACAAGTCAGAGAGCAAGAGCTTGGCTTGTTCCCGAGAGGGTAAGTAAGGGCAGGAGAGCAGTGTGGTGCGGTGTGAGGCTGTGCAGGGTGACAGAACCTCCTCACTCCACTCCATCAGCACTGTGGGAATTCAGATTCCACTTCTGGACAATGGGGGCCATGGCAGTGAGTCCGAAGCACCTGACAGGATTCCATTATGCTTTGCCAAGGTTCTTCAGCTACTTTTTTAGAGCACAGATCACTGGGGTCCTGGGATGGAGCAACCAACTGTCGACAGAACTAGTTGTAACCAATACAAGAAATGATGTGAGAGGCCGTTTACGTCAGCATCGAAACAAAGGATCTGGTCCTTGGAGTCAAGACCTCCTTAGCTAAGCTGGAGTTTGCCTGAAGAAATGGAGAAATTGGAGGAAGAGAAGGGAAGGCAGGCAGAGGGAATACATGTGCAAGGCATCCACAATGGTGGATGACGAAAATAATTAGATCCCAAATCACACAGGGGAAGTAGAAGAGCTATGTGTTTCAACCACAATTGAGATAAAAAGCTGTAAACAGGGCCCTAAATTAATACTGAGATTCCTGACAGCCAAGGCAAAAACAGTTTTTGCCCTAGTACATGAGACCGTAGGGAGGCCACTTATTCTCCAAGCTTTAGGAGAGGACCCAGAGTATGCTTTATCAGTTCTATCTTTAGTCCCCAAAGAATTGGCTCTAGTTTCACTCAAATACTATTATTTATGTGGGTCCCCAAAGCAAAAGTAGATACCCACTCCTTCCTGCCTCAGCACCAAACCCAGGTAGTCTCCTTATATTGGTGATACCTGCCTCAGGTTCAATGTGATTCACTGCCCCTGTGTGAAATTCCCAAAAGCCAGACCTGCATTACAGAATGAAGCTGTGACTTCTCTTATGGAAAGTCTTCATTCCCTGGGAACCTCCAGTCATCTCCTACACTTGAATATTGCTGTGAGGGTCACCTCTGAGGCCATGGAGTGTGCCAGGATGCTAGTGGGGCTGGACCAGTGTCATTTCAGACATTATGGTAGGTGCCCTTCTGTCCTTCAGGGTCAGATCGGTATCTGGAGAGCCGAGATGCCCCTCGCCTGAGTGGCCGGGACCCTTCTTCATGGACAGTGGAAGATGTGATGCAGTTTGTCCGGGAAGCAGATCCTCAGCTCGGACCCCATGCTGACCTCTTCCGAAAACACGTAGGTACCTCTGCCTGACCTCCTGTGTGTGTGGCAACCTCTCGGTCTTAGAGGGTGTGGCTGTCTGTTCTATGTCCATTGAAACAACATAAATGACGCTGTCTCAAGAAGACCTCACTGGGTACTATGTCTACCTCACTCTCTTAGCATAGACTCTCATTGAGCCAGACTCCCCCTGGGTTTGTGCTTTGGGGCTCAGTTCTAGGTTACAGGGATCTATATATCACTTTTCCCAAGGATGCTTTACCCTGTCTGCTTTGGTGGGAGATTCAAGGCTTTCAGCCCAAGTTCAAGAATCCTCTGCAAGTACCCTGCCTCCCTCACTAGTCCCCCGTCCGTGAGCACCATGTTCCCTTCACTAGACCATTGGTTTCCTGGCTAGGCACTGCTCTTGCCCTCTGCTCTGATCGCACCCCAGCTTTGGGGCTCAAACCCTTTTCCTGCCTGTGCTGCTCGGTGCCATCCTTCCGTGGTTACAAAGTCTGCCCCTCACTGACCTCAGAAATCTTTTAGGTAGGTGGGTTTGCAAGGGCTCCACTGCCCCAGGAGGCCTATTGTGGGCTCAGAGCACAGTCCCTCTTGAGGGTAGGTGTCCACACAGCCTGCACAGGTACACACACTGCAAGGCTTCTCACAGGCTTAGAACAGGAAAGCCGCATAAAAGAGCCAGGTGGGAGGGGCGTGTCCGGTAGTGCCTGCCTGGAGAGAGTGCTCACAGTGCCAGGGAGAAGAGCAGCAGGCTTCAGGCCCCGGCAGCCTGACTGCCTGACTGTGGGCCTCGCACTGCTCTGGGTAGTCTCTGATTGGCACCTGAGGCAGTCAGGCCAACCAGGCATCTGATGGTGGCTCCTCCCACCCCCAGGAGATCGATGGCAAGGCCTTGCTCCTGCTGCGCAGTGACATGATGATGAAGTACATGGGCCTGAAGCTGGGGCCCGCCCTCAAGCTCTCCTTTCACATTGACCGGCTGAAGCAGGGAAAATTCTGAACAGGAGGATTCTTCTTCCCGGAAACCACCAGCCATCTCCCAGGCGCCCCCGTAGGGCTCTGGGTGACCTCAGGACTCCCGGAGGCTGGAGGACCACGACTGCTGCCCTCCTGCCCTCTGTGTCCTTCTGTGAAGGACCAAGGAGGGAAGAACGTGGGCCCAGGGCTGGTGCTGCTCTTCCCCTTAGCCTGCTGGGGCTCCCAGGCCCTTCTATTTATTTCTCAAGGCTAGCCAAGCCTCTCACCAGAAGTTTAGACTGAGCACTTGCAAAGAGATGGAGGAAGAGGCCAACTTTCAAAAGGCCCTGGCACCCAGGCCCCTTACCACCTCCTGGGCATGGTATAGTGTCGATGGCCCCCAGCTCATGCCTTGTCACCAGATCCCCAAACTCTGGACTTGTGGTGCAGACCTTTTTTACAAAGATCCTTTCTTGTTGCTAATTTATTGCTTCTGGCACTTGGACTGAATGCTTTTCTTGCACCAGACATTTTTGGGAAGAAGGAGACCACTCTCTGTGGTCCAGAGAGGGCCTCTCCAGAGAAGTGTGGCCCTGTTTCAGAGGATGCTGCCCTAGGGCTCTTGCCCTCTGGGATGGACAGAGGAATATAGCTCACTGGACAGGGAAAGGCTAGGCTCCCTCCCTCTTCCCACACCAGGCCCTTTGTAGCCCCAGCCTCTGTCTCTGATGGAGTTTCCCCACCACCCCTGCCCCATCACAGCTCCCTGCCCTGGTCAGAATTGCTGCAAAAGATGGGGCCTAATGCCTTTAGGCCACGGGGCCCCGTGGTGGGAGGGAGGCCCTCCAGGCTGGAGGCTTTGCCCTCTGCTAGCTCCTGTGCTTCCTCCTCAGCAGTCGGCAACACTGCTGCCCACTGCCATCTGAACTGTTTTGTGTCCGTTTGTTTCTAAATAAAACCAATGCAAAGGCTCCTCGGGTCTTTTTAACCAGTTGACATCCAGATTACTCAGCAAGAAGGTTGTTCCTTCACTTCGTCTTGGTTTTCACACATGTAAAACAAGGAGCCTTAGCCCTATCTTCTAGTCCCAGTCCAAAAGAATTGGCTGCTGTCCAAGTGCCCACAGCAGCCAGCACCTTGCAGGCCCCAGCCTCTGCCCAGGTTGCTTCCCTTTGTCAGTTAGATGTTTGCTATCAGCACTGCAGCTCCGTCAAGCCAGAAGCAACTCAAGGGCTGGTAACTCCCAGAAGCCTCCTTGTGAGGTAAGAAGAGGCAGTTCAGGCCTGCATGGTACTCGCTGCACTGACCAAGGCCTGGCACCCAAGCCCAGGGTCACACAGCCTGTTGGCTTACAGTGGGAACGGGTTTACAGAAGGCGGAGAAGGCTGTCTGGAGCCCCAGTGTAGGACAGGACAAGCTGAGACAACAGCCAGGGAGCACACTGAGCTTCAATGTTGCTGGGTGACTGCCTTAGAGCTGTGGGACATCTGGGCCAGGCCTGGCTGCAGGGTGAGCCATTTAGCACCCGCCCGGTCTTTGCAGAGTCTCGTTCAGCCACCCTGTGGGGCTGGCCTCTTCCCCGTCTGTACAACATTGTCTTATGTCCCTCAAGTTCCCTGCCCAAGCTTCTGCCTCCAATCCTACATGCAACAAAAGTTCAGGCATGCCTTCAAAATGGCTGCCCACGGGAAGGCAAACAGCTACTTCATTGAAGGTCTCCCCCTTGTTCCCAGTAATCAGGGCTACTAGGAGTAGTGAAATTTACCTGGAGCCAACAAGATGACTCATTCGGTAAAGGTGTTCCTGTGCAAGCCTGGGGACCTGTGCTTGGTCCCCAGAACTCACAGGAAGGAGGAGAAAACCAGCTCCAGAGTTGTCCCCTGACATCCACGTGTGTCAGGATACATGTGCTCTCTCCTCCCACATCATACATGTAGTAATAAATCAGTTTTTTAATACTAATAGAAGGTACTTGGGGCTGGAGAGATGGCTCTAACAGTTAAGAGCACTGGCTGCTCTTCCAGAGGATCCAGGTTCAATTCCCAGCACCCCATATAGGAGCTCACAACTGTCTATAACTCCATTTCCAGGGGATCTGACATTTTCATACAGACATAAAGGCAGGCAAAACACCAATGCACATAAAATAAAAATAAATTTTGCCAGGTAGTGATGGTGCATGCCACTTGGGAGGCAGAATCAGGAGGATCTCTTAAGTTTGAGGACAGCCTGGTCTATAGAGCAAGTTCCAGGACAGCCAGGGCCACACTGAGAAACCCTGTCTTGAAAAACAACAAAAGAATATCTTTACCTTATCTAAGCTAAGTCCTGCCCCCAAGGAACTGGCCCCATTGGTAGAGGTTTCATGTTCCCCAAGCCTAGCTGATTTTCAGGCCTATCTGTGTTTGATACAGAAAAGGGTCTTGTATCAAGAGAGCCCTGGACCCCCTTGATACAAGTGTACATCCTGTACATTGTGGTTCATCCTGGGAGCAGCTAGGTTCTGTCAGCGCTCAGTGGAGCTTGGGGTTGGGGACCAAGGAGGTGGAGACTTTAGACAGCAAAGCCAAAACATTGGCAACTAGTGGCTTGTGTGAGTGCTGGGGTCTGGAGAGGTGATGTAGAGGAAGAAGCGGCTTTGGGCCCTCAATTCTAGAACTGCTCCAAGGGTTGCCATGGCCAAGCTGTGGCAGCTGAGCCCCTGTGTCTGCTTACACTGTCCAGCCAAGACTATGGTTGTTGAGAACCATCCTTGCTTGACATCCCCCAGCCCTGCTTGCTACCTGTTGCTGAACTAACCAGAAGGCATTGTTGGCCTTCATGAGATCACAGAGGCCAGTGAGCAGGCCCCGCCCACTTCCTAGACCCTGGTCTCAGCCTCCCTGCCAAGTCCTAAGTATCCTGGGCCAGGGAGCTGTGGGAGCTCAGGGCTAGCACCTCCCATGCCCCTCCCTGCAGGAGCCAGCAGGACATGAAGATCATAGGCCTCCCCTTTTCTCCTCTTCCTGGTTGCCCTGAATGCCCCCACTACAGCTGGGGTGACTCTCCGACTGTGACCACCTCAAGAATCCAATCTGGAAAGATGCGGGCTGGTGGTACCTGCCACCCAAGTTGGAGGCTGGGGGTGTGGGGGTGAGTAGAGGGTCTGTGGCACAGCTTGTAAATGAGCTCCCAAGCCTAGTTCCTGAGGCACCTCAAGTTGGGTTTTTTTTTGGGGGGGGGCAGGTTTCAAGACAGGATCTCTCTGTGTAGTCTGGCTGCCCTGGAACTTGCTTTGTAGACCAGGCTGGCCTTGAAATCACAGAGATCCGCCTGCCTTTGCCTCCCAAGCTGGGATTAAATGTATGTGCTACCACCGCCTGGCTTCAAGTTTTATGTATATATGCAAAGGCCTTTTGTATGGGGAGGGACTGTAGCCATTGTCAATGTGTCCAAACCCCAAGAACCTGCCAACCCAATCCTAAATAGTTCCAATGACCCGTATTAGCCTCTTGGCAGATTTTAGAATCAAGTAGGAGAGCCAGTGACGGGGCCACTGACCAGCTCTGAGAGTTCAGAACAATGGCCTCTTCTCTGAGGCCACTCTAACCATCTTGCTAGGGCCTGGAGACTTTAAGAACCTTCTAGATGTGAAGAAACCCAGCAACAGCTAGGAGGCCCTGGACATAGATTGAGGAATCAAGATAAAGAAGGCACCTAGAGGGTATGGAGGACTCAAAGACCCCTCCTAACCCTTCAGGCAAATCCCTTATCTACCCACAGGCCCAGAGGCAGGACTCAGGCCCATCTGGTTCTTTCCTAGGCACCAAGGGGGGTCACTGGCCCTCTGCCCTCCTTTCTTTCTGACCCTGCCTAGCCTCTACCAGTCCAGAAGCTTCCAGAAGCCTCAGCACCTGTGAGTCCATTGGGAAGCCCTGGCCAGTCTGAAAGCCAGGCCCAGGAAGAGCATTCAGCAGTGAGGACTACCAAAATCCCTCCTCAGGAAGACCGCCATCACCCTCAGGAGGAGGTCAGCTCAGACACAGATGTGGGAGCCCCCTGTGGAGTCGCAGGGCCAGCAGCTCCTGCCAGAGCTGCCTCTAAAAGAGTCCTCACCCAAGGACTCTGGCCTCAAGGCAGTTCCCAGCACACGTACTCTTTATGTGGGCCACCTGAACCCCCAGTTCTCTGTGCCCGTGCTTGCCTGCCTGCTACGAGACACCCTCGAGCGGCTGGAGCTGCCCGTGGCCCGCGAGAACATTGAGGTGGTGAGGCGGCCACGAAACACTTACGCACGGGTACAGGTGGCTGCCCCCAAGGCTGCCCTGGCCTCCCTGCCCTGGCGCCTGCAGATGGCCTTAGAGGAGCAGCTAATCCTCAAAGAGCTCACAGCCCGCGGCAAGGAGCTGGTGCTGGGTGAGGGACTGGAGTCCCTGAACCGCAGGGAGGTAAGTGAGCTGAGTTGGGAACAGCAGGAGGAACCGCACACCCTGGGGGTGTGACTCAAATGACTGCCCCTCTTCTCAGAGGGAGGCTAATTTTTGCATTCCAGTCAGGTTTGGGAGGTCCGGGACATACCAAGTCCTGGGTTTCTCCTTGGCCCACCTCACTGTTCCCTTGACAAACACCAGTGCCTACACTGTACCAGAAGCAGGGCTGAGGCAGGCAACCCTGTCCTGGTCAAACCCTCCAGGAGCAGAACCAACTCTGCCAGTCCCAAAGTTGGGGTGGCTGTGGGAGAACAGGCAAGCCCTCACTACCCACTGGGGACAATTTTACAGGGGACCGGAAATCCAGGCTTGGGACTTAGGGAGCACAGAAGGCACTCCAAGAAAAGATGTTCAGGTAGTGGAGGTAGGACAGGCTGTTTGGTATCTCCGGAGCTGAGGCTCGGAGGCCACAGGGGCAGCTGAGGAAGAAGCTGGGCCAGAGGATAGGTCCAGATCACTACAGCTGTGATGATCTGCAGCAAAGCAGGGTCCAGGCCAGTTTTGTTGGGGGTGAAAACTTATACTACCAATGTCCTTGGTCTTCTGTCCAGAGGGCAAACCCACGGGGCCTGACCTGTGGGTCTACAGCTCTGATGCTCTGACGCATGTACACCTGCTTTTGTGTGTCTGTGTCTATTAGTTTCTGAGTTCATCTTCTTTGGGGAGCTGCTGTCCTGTCCATCTCCACACACCAGCCCAGCTGAGTGTCCAGCCCTGTCGAGGTGAAGGCTGCTGGGAATTGGGAGTGGCCATTGGGTTGGCATTTAGAGCTACTGAGAGGGTGGGAAGAGGAAGCTGATGGGCTGTCAACACGCTAAGGAAGTTACCATGCAGAAACAAAATGCCCAGAGCCCTAGAGACAAAGCAGGAGCCACAGAGGGACTCAGGAAGGGCAGAAGAAAGCTAAGATTCAAGGGACTTTTCATTGGCCAGGAAGTAGCTGGCAGATATTCCAGGGACAACAAAGAGTAGGGTCCCTCAGTTTAGGGACCTGCAGCTCTGGCAGAGAACTGCAGGATAGAAAGAAGCCTCCTGGGACCTCTTACACACCCCAAGCCAGGAAAAGACTGGCCCACAGGTGTATTGGCTCCCGGCTCCAAAGGGGCCATCTCTTTACCCACCCAAGCATCCTACAGCAGGTGCCAAGGAAGACCCCAACCCAAGAGCTGGCTTGGGCCCTTGAGCCAGCACTGGCTTTTGCACACGTGCAGAATTGGGCCGTCACTCTGGGAGACACCACTGGCAGCAGTGTGGTGGGGGTCTGCCTGGCAGTCTCTTAGGTTAGGCCCTCGGCCTTCTGCCTTTGCCTGTACACCCACTCTTGACCCCCACCCCAGCAGGAGGACAGCGGCTCGAGCCCCAGCCCTAGCCCTGGCCCCAGCCCAGGCTTCAGGCGCCCACAGCTGCGCCAACTGCCAGACCCTTCCCCTAACTGGTGCTGGGCTGGGCGACGGCAGATCCCTCAGAACCGACCCAGTGGTGTGCGCTCTGACAGTGCCATTGTGGACCAGGAGATCTTGGGCCAGGAGCAGCTATTCCAGGGTGCCTTCCTTGGCAGCGAGACACGGAATGTGGAGTTTAAGCGAGGCAGCGGTGAGTACCTGAGCCTGGCTTTCAAGCACCACGTACGGCGCTACGTGTGTGCCTTTCTCAACAGTGAGGGTGGCAGCCTGCTGGTAGGTGTGGAGGACAGTGGCCTGGTACAGGGCATCCACTGCAGCCACCGTGATGAGGACCGTACACGCCAGCTGGTAGACTCCATCCTGCAGGGCTTCAAACCCCAGGTCTTCCCTGACGCCTACTCCCTCACCTTCATCCCCGTCATAAGCACTTCCACGGCCAACACGCCTCTCAAGGTGAGCTCCCAGTGTATGTCGTCACTCGGGACAGTGGGGCTTTGCTGACATTGCTGGGCAGGATGGGGGGGGGGGGTAGCACAAGCAGGAGCCCACCAGGCTGCTTCTGGGAGCTAAAGTGTGGGGCTGCTCAATGGAACTGGGGCTGCCGCCATCAAGGGTGGCATCTCTGAGCTGCTCTTGCCCCTGCTAAGGTGCTCCGTCTGACCGTGCACACCCCCAAGGCCCAGGGTGAGCCACAGCTGTATGAGACAGACCAGGGGGAGGTATTTCTACGGCGTGATGGAAGCATCCAGGGCCCACTGTCTGTTGGCGCCATCCAGGACTGGTGCAGGCAGGTGAGGCGAGGCGGCTCCGGACAAGCTGACCCAGACCCCTACAGCCAATCACCCAAAAGCACCGGGCAAGCCTGGAGAAGGGAGGGCTTGGATGAAAGGAACTCTGCCTCCTCCCAAATTTCATAGCTCAGTAGCCCTAGGGAAATTCCCAGCAGTCGTTTTAAAACCTGTGTCCCATTCCACAGCACACAGCCACACCCACCCTGCCTCAGCAGTCATTATGTTGTTGAAGGGCCAGGGGATCAGGGAGATTGGACTACTGAGGTGCTAAGGCAACTACACTAAGTATGCACTGCACCTGGGTAGACCCTGGTGAGGGGGCAGGGGAGGGCGCACTGAGTCCCAAGGAGAAGTCTTTCTATGAGGGAACCACCCGATGGTCGGTCGAAAAGCAGAGGGCAAGGGAGCTGACACTGGAGACGTGGTCAGGTGGTGATCAATGCCCTGTGCCAGGCCTTGGGAGGCTGCAGAGGGGCTCCATCCCAGTGGACGGTATCCGGGCAACTTCAAGACCCTTGGTCAGAGGCGGCAGCATGGCCAGGGCCCCAGGCTATGGCCCACCCCAGGGAGGAGGATAGCCTGGGACAATGGCAGCCTGATTATCTACTGCCACACTGTCCTCAGAAGTGGACGATGGAGCTGGGCAAGCTGGAGGAGAAGGTGAAGACCCTGACGATGGAAAAGGAGCAGCTGAGGCAGCAGCTGAGGCAGCGCCGGTCCCTGTCCTGCAGCTGCTGTGTCCTGTGAGGATGAGGAAGATGTGGGCTAAGACCTGGAATAAAACACACATGAGCTGCCGCCTCTCTCCCTCAGCGCTGCATGCAGGAGCCATGTGGCTTCACCTCAGAGCAGGCTGACAGTCAGCTCTTGGCACACCCCGAAGCAATCCTGCTTTCAGAAAACTTGGCTAGTCACTCCAGAACTCAGCTCTCAGAGACTGGAACTCTAATCCCAACTAAATGCACCTTTTGCCTAAGCCAATTCTAGTGGGCTGGGAATATCAACTTGGAAAGGCCATTTGCAGCTGGCAAGACCTGTGTGGTAACTAGTCACAGGGCATGGGCCACCCTGCAGCTCTTCCCCCAATTGTCATTGCTCCTTACACACTGCATGCACAGGAATGCTTAGCTACTTCTATGACATTTGGTCAGCCAGCCGGAGGAGGCTGCTGCGTCACAAGTCTCATGCCCACAAAGATACCACCACACAGCAGCCACTCAGCACCCACTGCGGCTCTGCCCTAAGACTCAGCACTTGGGGCAACAGTGCCTACCTCTGCCTCGTCACCCGTGAGACTGACAGTGGGCAAGGGACATTTTGTCACAATCATGTAGTATCTGGTGTCTGCTGGCTGTGGCAGAACAGCTATTCACAGGAGTCTAGCCAGAGTTATTGCCTCCCCACTAACTGGCACTAAGGCTAGAGCTGGATCCTGTCCACACCCATTTCACCACAAGAACGCCACCTGCTAGCGGCTCCTGCTGCCCCTTACACCAGCCATGCATGCTACAGCAACCATCCCCCTCATCTACACTGGGTGCTCCCCTGCCTAGAACCCTCTTCTCTCAGAGCTGCAGGACTTAGCTCCCCCTCCAGGCTTGTCTGGGACTTGTGGCACTCCTCCTCCAACACTCCACACCCCGGCCACTGCCAAGGTGCTGGGAATCAGACAGGAGCAACTATGTCCAGTCCAGCTTCCCTTTCCCCTCTCCATAGCAATGCCCTAGTTTCTCCCACCAGTGTACATGCTGCAGGTCAGGGATATGGTCTGTGTTCAGAACACACACAGGCGTGTGGTAGGTGCCTGATACTTCCCCAATGAGACAATCAAGGATACTCTTAAATTTGGGCTCTAGGCTACCAGATAATCATGATGTACCGACAGATAGCCCTTGTCCCCTAAGTCTGAGGTAAGCACACTAAGCACACAGAAGAAGCCTGCAAGGTTCCCTCCTGAGCACTGGTCATCATTAGACGCAGTGGGCTGCCTTCTAGCACCATCCATGGCAAACTCTGGGCTATGTGGGGATTCCTTTTGCTGACAGGTCATACAGGTAGCTGGCATGTGGCAGCTGGTGAATAGTGAGGCCATCTTCATCAGGAAAGAAAAATTAGGGATGGCTCTTCCAAACCATCCCATACCCAGCCAGGCCTCACTGTTGTGGCAGCAGCGGTGGTCCCTCTGGGACACACTGCCTCGGCTTGGGGAATAATGACACCACTGGGTGGGAAGGGAGGTTAGAAATAGAATCAGCCACAGCCAGACAGGATCTATACAGAAGGGACCATGTGAGCTCACTGAGAAATGAGGGAAAGACAGAGGAATGAGGTGGGAGCTGGGCTAACTGGTGGGACACATACTCCTCCCCAAGGCTCCAATGTCTCAACTTGTAGCAAGTGAAGGATGTTACCACCTATACACAGCCAGGCCTGCAGCCTGAGTGAATGCTAATGTCACCATCACCCCACAACTGACTTTGGAAAGTTCCCTGTCCCTGTGACCTTGAACTTCTGAGCCTCAATTCTAGAAGTCAAGAATGAGTACAGAGTGGGAGAGAAAGCAGACGAGCTGGTTAAGACAGCCCATGGTCAGCTGTCTGGCACCATGTATGAAGTGCCCTGTCTGCAGGGGGCAAAGGACCCTGTCCAGGCAGCCCATGGTTCTTCTTTTCCCCTGCTAAGTAGCACACAGTGGCAATTGGCCTTCATGACAAACTGAAGCCTTGCTGAGAAATCCTGGTTGCTACTAAGGCTTGCATCTTAATTTGATATAAAGCATCAGACTGCTGGCTTTGGAGAAGCCCAGCATTAAAGTTCAGTGTCCACGGAAAATCACCCCAACCAGTGATAGAATGAGCAAGCACACCAATGGTTCCGCATTATTTATTAAGTTAGGATACACTGAGCCAGCCACCATAGTGTGGGCACGTGGTCATGCCCACTGCTGTCACGTTAAGAAAATACCTTTTCGAGTTGCATTTCACCTGCATTAACACTATTTTGGAAGGAAAAAGTACCCTCAAATCAATGCTGCATACACAAGAGAGGGCTTCAGAACTAGTTTCCAAGATTCCTTTTTTCTTGACCCCTTGATGCAAGGAGTGTTCTCAGCCCCAAGAATAGGAAGTGCAGCCAGAGCCCCAGGGTTTCTATATGACACTTCATAGACAGAGCTTGTGTGATGTACCCAAGAACCAAACATCCCTCCAGATGGCCAGGGCCAACCACAGCTGGAACCAAGTGCCCAGAACTCGGCAGCACTAAGATTCCAGCAACATCCACAGTAGCAGCCCAGCACTGGGAGTGCCAGCAGCCCAGGGAAGTAACAGCACTTGAATGACAGTGACTCAAGTGGTCGGAAAAACAGGGTGGTTGATGACCTTCAACCAGCCGCTGGCCACCATCAGGTCCCATCCAGAGTCCTACTCCCCATGTCAGAAACACACAAACTGCAAAGGAATTATCGCAGGATCCAATATAAATGATGGGACATGCAAGTGACAAAGTTTTCCAAATACCTTTCCCCCATAATAAAATAATCTTAATAAAAACATAATTTAAAGGAAGTGTCAAAAGCAGAGTGTAAAATCATAGTTGTAAACTATCGGGTCAAAGGCTTTCTTGAAGAATCATCCTGTTTCAAAAAAAAAAAAAAGGCTACAATTACAAGATGTTTATTAGAAGTGTCAGAACGTGGTCAGCTGCCAGCCCCCACAGGGAATGAGGCCTGCTCCTGTGGGAGGACGGCAGAAGCCGACATTTGCAATCCAGACCCCCACACCATCCAGGCCTTGCAGCTCCTGTTTCGTGCTCAGTCAGATGCAAGCACCCTGTCCACAGCAGCAGCCTACTCCATGACTGACAGATGCCTGTGTGTGGAGGAGGATGGGTGTGTGCACCTGTGCACGTGCTGCTGTGGAGGACACGGGCTGACGAGCATCCTCCTGTCACTCTCCAGCTCCCGACACAGCAGTGGCTGGCTGGCCAGAGAGCAGCTAGGGACAGTCTGTGTTCCCACTTTTTCTTTTTTTACTAAACCTTAAAAATGTCACTTACCAACACCAGATCAGTCCTGACTTATTGATGGGAACTTGAGTTCAGTGATTTCAGAGTCAGGGGAGCTGCTCCCGCTTCTATCACTGTAAGTGTCCCTGTGGAATTCAGAAGGTTTACTCATCTCCCAGCAAGTACTCACTTCACGTCCCATCTTTGTAACCCCTGTACACAGCAGTGTGTGTCCCTACATGGCAACTATCTCTACCACACATGTGAGGCGTGGAGGGATTTCCTTCCTCTAGTTCCAAGAGATACACCCCCACCCCTGAATACTTCAGTATTTATATACTAGCCACTTACTGAGAGAAACCAGTCTCAGATAAAAGTCATCAGGCATAAGCCCACCTGGTGGTGACCCATTTGCCATGCACAGGATCTGCTCAGCAACATTACCAGAATCTATAGAGATGAGGCCTAGCCAGTGAGACGGGGAAGCCTAACAAGACCCCAGGAAAAGGATGGGAGTATGTGGTCACCCACACAAGGACCAGGCCTTGCCATCGGGCTTTTTCTTAGGACTGTGTAGAGCCTCACTGTGATTAGTATCCCTACCTGGGTGAGAGCCGGCAACCTTTCTGCAGGTAGTGTGGGAGCCTCCCAACAGAGGCCAGGAGGAGGCCAAAGTAGGGCGGGGAAGGCTTGATAGGCCTGGACAGGAACTCAGGGTGATACTGCACCCCAACAAAGAATGGGTGATCTGCAACACAAATTCAGAAGGAACAATTAGTATTCTGTGCATCCAAAGATGGGACAACCTAAGAGTGTTCGAAAGTCACTCTATCACGTCATTGTAGATAAAAGGTACTCCTCCAAGCAGGAGTGAGCTAACACTCTTCTCAACACTGTGTAGAGGCTCTGCTCTCAGGTCCCATCTGACTATCTTGTGACGTGCACAGGTTTTGCCCCACAGTTCATAAGAAAGCTGAAAGGGGTTTCAGCACCAAGTCCAGCTCTTCATGCTGGGGAGGAACCAAGCCCAGGGTCTATGGCTGCTGTGGAAGCTATACCTAGGTATGTCAGAAGCTCCTCCCCAGACACTGCTGCCTCCTCGTGCCAGTCAGGAACAAGAGCTTTTCTTTTCTTGAGACAAGGTCTGGTTCTAGCCCTGGCTGGCCTGGAACTCACTATCCTCCTTCAGCTCTCCAATTGCTGGACACACCAGGGTAACATGTTTTTCTCTTTTCCCACACACTAAGGCATTATCACTACCCAGACAGTTACCTTCCAACTCCACAATCTCCATCCTCTCGCCTTCAACATCTTGGCCAACAAACTTCAAGCCTTGCTCTTCCAAGCACTTTTTCAAGACTGGATTCACCTGGTGGGGCAGGAAAACTCATTGTGCTGGCCTCTCCATTCCATTCCCTCCTTTGCAGAGTATCGGAAGGAGCAGGCTCACATCCTCACCTCAAATCGGTGGCGGTGCCTCTCTTCCAAGTAGTCTGCGTCTCCATAGAGTTTTCCTGCAGAAAACCAGGCAATTTGTATGACTTCTGCCTCCACAAATAATCTATGCAAACTGCTAACTTCCCAATTCACTCTATCTTTAACCACGCTACCAAAATTCTGCTAGCCACGTTCACCTGTTCTTGATATAATTCAGACAAATAATTCCTGGGGCTCTCTCTCTGTCCAAACCAAATATGATAACAGGAATAAACTTTCACAACCTCTTTTAAACACACCACTGCTAAATGCCAAAGCACTGTGCTGCTGGGAACCACCACAGGGACAGGACAGGCCCTCCTAGAAAGCCAGCTCCCTGAGAACAGTGTCTGGAAGGGAAGGAACTGAAAAGCTGGTGGGTACCTGGTGCCTGTGGATAAACAGGCAGTGTGTGTGCAAATGGGATGCTTACTGACTCACTCCTCACTGCCTGCTGAGACCCCACACCCACAGAACAGCACAGTTCGAAGAACT